ATCAATCAGCAGCCTGGGATCTACCCCAAAACAGCATCTGGGGATTTGTGGGGCTGCCTGAGGGAGCTGTGTGTCCTGCTGCACCCAGCAAAATGTCACTCCGGATGTGTCCTCACTGCACAGCACCCCGCAAAGCGGCACCACGCCGGGGCACGGAGGCAGGGCTCCTTTGGGAGCGATACGCGCGCCTATTTGTGCTGTGCGACTTGCACGACTTGCAGGTCCTCAGGACCTCATGCTCTGCAGTGCTCCCTGCTGCCTGACGCGCTGGCGTTTTAAAACCTTTTGGTGCGCGCGAACTGCTAATTGGGGTAGGTGTTTAGTACAGGGGAGCCCTGTGCAAGGAAAGGCTTGATTGTTCTGCAGAATTAGGTGGACAGCTACTTCAGTGAGGCTCTTTGTGCTTGCTAGTTTGGAGGCAGGTGAACAATTTTTCAGGCTTATAGACTACAATAATATTCTTTTTTTTTTTTTTTACGTTTTAGTTGAATCTCTTATCCTACTTATTTATTCATTTGGGAAAGCACAAGCACCAAAATTCATKAACTTCATGCATATGCATGACTGGAAACTTCAGTGCAGCGAGCAAATCTGCTGCGGGCAGGTGCCAGTGAGGGCTCTTTTGGGCTGGTTTTGTTGCTTTTTGCTACTTTGGAGCAAAGAGCAATGCAGAAACACTGGTTAAAAACGAGTGTGTGTGTGGTGTTGGGAAAGCAGTGCAAAAACCCCGGCAAAACTGGCTCCTCAGGCAGCATCACCCTCATTTCCCAGGRGCACAGGGGGAGCCGGCGGCAGCTCCGTGGCCTCCGTCCTGTGGGAGCCACCGCTCCGCAGCCGCTGCTCCTTCCCACAGCCCGCGGCTCCYGTGCTGGTCGGCAGCGAGAAGCCCCCTCGTTTCCCCTTCTTTCAGACTCCCCTTTCAAACACTTGGAGCAATTCATCTGTGTGCGGCAGGGCCGCAGCTCCCTGGATCTGTCTGCACCTTTTGGGTGTTTTTTCCTGGCACAGACAGCCCAGACCAGACATGGACTTAAGGGAAYGGGAGGTAAAGGTGTTGCTGTCAGCCTGTGACTGCGTATTTGATGGCCAGTGTCCCCCCAGCTGTTTAAAAGAGATATATTTGTACCTCRCAAGCACAACTTTCTGTATCGATTAATTGCAATGCCCAAGTGACTTATTGCCGTGGAGGCGGTAAAGGCAGGAGAGGACGGAACATCATTTTTACATGGGTCATAACTCAGAGGAATTGCCTATGTTACTGTGTCTTGATGATATATTTGCTAAAGATCACTCTGAGTTTAGGTAACGGCCATAGAGATAAATGTGAGATCATGTCATTGCTGTTAGATAGACCATAATAAATACCCTTGAGCAAAAAGGCCAGATTCGGAGTGTCTGTGCAAGCGCCTGGCTCCAGGAGGGTCCATGCAGGGTCTGTAGGACTCCATTTGAGCCATGGGAAGAGCCTCCAGAGGACAGCTCAGTCCTGTGCATTCACCAGGGAGAGGGTCTGGGTTTTGGAGGTGTTAGTGTCCTCTGATGGACACCCTCTGTCCAGATTGTGCTCATGAACACCCATCTCTGTTCAGGTGGTGCTGGATTTTCCTTCAGGAATATATGCTCTTTGGAAAAACTTTCTATGACAGTCATGAAGATGAAGGTGTTGCTTGGCTCTGATGTGACTTCCCAGCCTTGGGGAACCTTGAGACCAACAGATTGGGGAGGGAGTCATGGCAGTTCTCCACAAGTTCGGGATCAGATATGAAACCAGGCAACCTGAGCTGCCTGTGTGGCATTTTTAGCAACAATTATGGAAAAGATCCTAGGAGTTAGGGGGATGTAAGAAAATAAGGAGACTTATAAAAGTGGACTCTCATCCCCGGGAAAGTCCAAAGCCCTCTCCAACTTTGAACTCCACGACAAGGACCAAGACCCTCTTCCCCTTCACACCACTGCTTCCCTAGGAGCACAGAGAAGCAYGGAGGACAGGTTGCCCCTTAGCTGAGGTGTCCATACTTGGTATCCACCCTGTAGCTCTAGCCTTGGGTTKCTACCACAACCTTGGTGCACAGAGGGAGCACCGTGGATGAGACACAACTGTGCCTGAAGCTCTGCCTCCCCAAATGCCGTTTTAGAATGAGTCTGGAAACTTCCAGTAGGGATCGTAGCACGTTTCAGCCCCAAGAAACAGCCTGAACGCTTGCTCATTATCAGTGCAGACATTCAGCTATAACAGCATTGAAGATGACAGCGCTAGTCTTACTTGCAAAGCAGAGCTACTGGCAGCACGTGGGGCCAGTTTGTCTAATCAGTCACTGCTGCTGGTTTCCCTATAGCAGGAGGCCAAAGGCAGATGATGGACCCGACTTCAAGGCATGTCTCTATATTTACATGACACGCAGGAGTAAATTAATGACTTGGCAAGTGCAAGCAACTGCTCAGAGGTGTATAACAGGGAACTGCTGATATATGTRGGACAGGGGCTGAGCTAGTCGTAAGTGATGTCAGCTGGTGAGAAATGGCCAAACAGAGAGAGGAAAAACAGAAAGACAAAGTTCAGAGGGAAAAATAAGAGAATTAAAGCACCGATCCACGCAAAGACAGTCTGAAAAAGGTATGTAAGAGAAAGGATTAAGAACAGAACTGCTGTGAAAGAAAAGGTAAAATTCAGGACAGACTTGATGATGGTGCGGAGGGTAGCTGGGATGTAGAGGAGTCGAAACTTGCAGAGCAAACGTTCACTAGAGCTGGTGCAAATCAGGCTGAAGCAGATGAGTGAAGATGAGAAACGTGACGAAGAGGGCAGGCTGCCCATCGGGTGGAAGCTGACCACAAACAGCCATACTTAGAGCTCAAAGCAGCCCAGGCTATCTTACTATGCCCATGCTGTCCAAAGGGGAAAGGACATGTTGTTAATATAATAGAAAAGATTGGACTGGGCAGAGTGATGTAGTGGTGAGGTCACACTGCTTCAGCACTCTTTGCAGTGATACGACTGGGCTAGTATCAGGCCTGTCCATGGATTTCTGGCCATAGAAGTGGTAGCAATTCGAAAGACAGCACCTGTTTTTGGAGTATTAGCAACATTTCAGATTTATCTTTATTGCAATGAAGACCAACGCCACTAGTTCTCCGGCTGGAGTTGTTCTTGAGCAATGTCCATCTGGTGAAAAATGAGGTTTTGTGGAAACTGACACCATGTCTGAAGGCAGACTTAATTTTTTTTTAAATAAAACCTTTTTTAATGAAAAAAAAAGAGATTTATTTAAAAAAATGTCAAAATTGTGTGAAAAATGCTAGTGGCTTTCCAGCCAGCACAGTTAACTCTGTCTGCAAAGGGGAGGCTGAAGGTAATGAGGTCTTTGCCACCGTGTTCAATGAGAGATGAATTAGACCCCAAAGCAGGCCGTCYGGTTACAAACACTCTGACATCCTCCTGATGCTTTCTGAGGCATTGTTTCTGTGAGCTAAATTGGAAATCAAATGATTCCCCCTTCACTCAGCTTGTAAACAAGCCTCTCGATGACCTGAGCTGCCAAATTCCCTTCTGTACCTATCGTGTATGCACAGAATTTGTCCTCCAGGCCAGTGTGCCTGGCCGCCCTGCCTTCCTGTAGTTCATCATCCTGGAAGGAAAACAAAAGTTCAGTCTTCTTAACCAAAAGATGATTTCTTGGCACCTTCATAGCTTCATACACCTTACCTTGACTCTACAGAATTCATATGACTACCTAAATGCCAATTCATAAAAACTAATCTTYTTTGGAGTAAGACATCAAAATGGAGCTTTCTCTTTCCTTAATGTAGCATGCAAATAGTTATTTCTTAGCACAGACTATATACAATTGGAAAAAAAAAGATTTTTGGATATATATTTTATTTGACAGTGGTTTAGAATATCATACAGTAAACAAGATTTCTGTAAAAGTTAATTTATCCATAGTGGTGCGTTTCATAAAAATAGTTGCTCACTTACAGCCTTTCTGTGACTATTAATACATGGAATTATATTTATAGAGATAGAGCTGTACAGGGTAAATTCACAGCTAACACTACACAGAAATATTATTTGGAATGGGATTTAGATGATGTGCTGTCTTCACAGGTTATCGATTACAGCCGCATAAAGCAATTACTGCACAAGGAGTAGCTGTGAACTGTGCAAATTAGAGTTTATGCAAGCATAATCTCAACTGTTTTTTCAGATTTCAATGTTTGCTTTCTTTATACATAAAAATAAGGTACTGGGACGTGCATCTAMACTACAGAAGCATTGTCCAAAATCAGATTCAATAAATTAATGGCAAATTATACTCGATTCTAGTTCAGGGGATAAAGATTTTTTTTTTTTTCATTAAATAAGATTTTTGTAAACAGCTACATGGACTTGTGCTTTTTTAGAAATTATAAATGGAGCTTTTCATTAAAAAAAAATATTTGAAAGCTGCAAAATCCTTTACTTGAGGCTTTTCAAATAATTGGACAGGAAGAAACATGCCTACAAATTTCTCAGTCCAGTGCAATGTTTGAGACATACAGTAATGTGCAAATTTCTTGGAACGAAGCCAATCTCAATCTAATTTTTGAGCAGAGCATATGAAGAACTAAGATTGCTAGAGCACAATATTTTGAAATATGGATTTTTGACAGTACTTTAGCTTTATTTATTTATTTTATTTTTTAGATTATCAATGTATTATTGCCCAGGATTTTGTTTTAATATCGACGGACAAAGAAGCATATGCACACCTACACATACACACAGGCATCTTTTAGAAACAGGATGACTGACTGACTGACCTGGGAATTATTTCCTGTGAAGGCAGACTGGAATGTTTACCTGGCACTTAAGGCTTGAAATTCAAAACAGACAAGCAAGAAAGATGAAAATAAAAAACACCAAAATAAAATAAAAATATTRAGAAATAAAAAGAGATGGAGATAAGGAAGAAATGCTAAAACGGGAACCATTTTGCAAAATTTACTGAATGAGGACACCAAACACTGTATTTCAGAAACCAGTCTAATTAGTGTTAACGTGTGCCTTAGAGGCGCCTGCTCTGCGAGACCGAGGGAAGGGGATGCAGAAGTACCCGAACGAAACACAGAKGGGTGTGAAACATAGCACTGTTGATAGGTGGTGACGCTGTCATTTTCTGCAGGAGGGAAAGGCCTTTCCTTAAGGAAACTGCAGCTTTTTCTCTTCAGCAACCTTCCTTTCGCTGTAAGGGCCTTGCACGTGTCGGCATTTGAGCCTGACCAGTGGGTTGGCGTGCGGCCCAGCGCTGCTCGGGGAACCTGTAGTAAATTGCTCTTCGGAATAATTTGCAAATACAACTCCACCCTAACTCCTTTCCAATGTACAGAAATATGGTTTGTTCACAAAAATGGCAGTAGAAATGGGATCACAGAAACTAATCCACTGGATTCCCAACGCCTCCCGTAGCTCCCAGTGACCTACGCTACTGGGTATCATGTGGACTATCTCAAAGTGTTAACAGTGGAGACATGTCATGGGTGTACAGTTCCAAATGCTTCAAAGAAACCCTTTAACCCCTGTCTAGATATGTTGAGAACAATTTATTTACAACATTTTAGCTCCATGAAAAGATCCTTTCTCGATTTCAGCTTGCTCCGTGCAGTTTTATTTAAGGCGATGTTCCAGTTTGTGATTGCTCTAACTTGTTCCAGTTTCTTGATATAAAGTTTGAATGAAATCCAAGTCCTTCATGCAGTGGAAAAAAATGCTAAAGCTACACTGCACTATCCTTCTCTGATGTACTGTCCTTCATTTTTGTTTTGGTTTCTTCCATAGCTGCCAAAGTCCCTAAAATGGAACTGGGACTTTAGGGTCGATTTTAAATCTCCGTGTTGACTATATGCTTTTGAACTTATTAGATACTGTGCACATTGTCATGGAATTACACACTAATGTTYTCATTCCTCAATGCTTTGTGTATATGTGTGATAGTTAAAAATAAATTAAAATAAATCAATGTGAGACAAAAACTAAGAAGAATGTTCTGCGTCAATCTGAGACAGTTAGAGGGCAACAGTCCCTGGTTTATCTGCTCATGGCAGAAGTACCAGACTTCAGAACGCTAGGTAGCTTGTCAGAGCCAGGGATTTTCCATGGTCCTGGGGAGACAGTTGCCTTTCGAACTGTGGTGTTGGTGCTGCGCGCGTTGATGGAGTGGAGATGTCCCTTCCTGGGGAACTCGCTGGGTTTCCCGTCAGGGTCCCTCTGGCTGTGGTCCGTATCGTTTCCAGGCGAGCTGCAGCGGTTGCTACCATACGTCTTGGCAGCACCTGTGTCGAGCCTGACGTGGTCAGATGCTGCAGCTGACTTCTTCTCACTGGTATTTCCGGATTTGTGATCTTCCTGTTTGCTGAGAGATCCTCCTCTCTTGCTATCCGGCTTCCTCAGCCTCCCAAACCGTTCATCACTGGTTCCAGCACACACGTGCTCTCTTGCGCCCGCCTCGATCATACCGCTTTGTCCCACCGCTTTGCTTTCCGAGGTGGGCCTGCCACCATCAGTGGTCTTATTTTTGCCTTCCGCATATCCTTTCCAAGAAGCCTCTTCATGCTTTGACCTGTCTACCTTCTTAGGACTTGCTGACCTTTCTCTTTGCTCTCCTAACCTTTTCTTTTTGTGACCGTTCACCGAAAGCTCCTTTGGTTTTCTTACATCGTGTTCCCTCTTGATATCCCATGTTGGCTCCGGGCTTATCTGGTGAGAAGGGTCAGAGGGTGGGGCTATATGTGATGAAGATAATGGTGAGATTATGTCGTCGAGGGAAAGAGCTACTTCCGGCAGACCTGGGGAGGTGGCAGAGGGAGCACTCCAGGCGTTTGGTTCGTCTGTTGCAACGACAAGGAGAAGGGAGTTAGCGGGCGCGCGACGTCCCACGGGACCGTGGCACATGCACCTCCACCCGAGCCACAGCCAGACCCAAAACTCCCGCGGGACCTAAACGCGGCAGCCTGGAGCGAGGTGATACTCCCAGGGGAGCCGAGGTGGGGGAAAACAAAAACACCGTCCTCCCCTCCCGCCAAAAAAACGTGTTCGGGAGAAGCCAGAGCTGCACAACTAGTGCTGGAATCCTCCATCTTTTTCTCAAACAGATTCTGGTTTTCTCTGTTTATGTTAAAATTACTGTTAAAATAATAAAGACACGTCCTCTCAAAATCAAATTCCCTCTTTTGTAGCTGTATAATGAATTTCTTAGCCAGGCTATGTCCGCGCTCTCTCTGAGGACAAATGAGAAGGCCTTTCTGCCATCCACTAAATATGTCCCTACAAAAACATACAGTAATTGACAAGAATTTGTAGCTCAGATAAGGTCATCACTGAATTCTKGATCACGCTTTTTTTCTGAACAGATGTAATATTGCTGTGTTTATGGCCTCACAACTCTTGCCAAGTACTTACAGAGCCCTGACTTTATATATACAACACGATGCAGCCCCAAATGTCTCGCCTCTGCACTTTGAATATCTCCTTGCTACTGAGCTCCAGCAGAATATGGTTGAATTGTGCTGATCTTGTTTAATTTATCTAAATAGGCACCTCCTTTGCTGAGTTGTGACGATTTTCCCAATCCACTGGTGAAAAACAGAATATTCTGTGGTGGTCCCCAAATGCCTCTGCCTCTCATGTCCATTTCTTTTGATTAACATGCAGGCAGGCAACGAATTCATCATGACTAATGACAGCTCGGCTCCTATCCCTACTCGCTCTGCTTTGAGGTTAGCGAAATCATTGAACTTGGCTAATGTCATTCCCTATTTAGCACCACTGCACGGCTCTGAACGGCATGAGCAATAATCTGTCAGAGATGAAGGACCGGCTCCGGGATCCATGGAAACGAGGTGGAACCAGTGGCAAGAGCCGCATATTTCAGGGGGAGGAAAATATAACCTTCTAGCTGGAAGGCAAACGTGGGCACCTGCGGGTCAGTACCAGAATCCCTCACTGATGTGAACCGCCCTTTAAAAGCCACAGCTATTTTTCTGAGAGAAATGGCCACTTTCAAATTATCATGAGGATGCACATTAYCTTGAAAAGCAAAATGGGTTTTGCTCCCTAGCCTGGGAGCTGCAGCTTGTTTGACTGAGACGGCACACTTAAGTAAATAGCTTGATTGAGTGATTTGCTGTTTTGCGGATAAAAATAGGACAGACAATAGTGAGGTGGGTGACGCAAGAGAAGGGAGCAGCACGGTTAGCTGAAGAGCTATTTATTTTCCCAGATGGTGTTTGTCATATGCTTCTGCATAATGAGCATATGTGTGGAAAGGATTAGCATTTGAGAGCAGAGAAAGTACAAGTTCTGGTTAAGACTTGAGCTCAGAATCTAAATGGGGCTGAGGGTCTCAACTGCATTTTATTTTTTTTTWWAAATCACACTTTCTTAGCCTCCAGTTAAGGCTGAGTAATGGACCATCTGCTCCCTGCTTGGCACTTGAGCAAGAAAGCATAAAAGGAGGGYTCATGTGTGCAGAGTTATCAGCTCTTATGAGCTTGCCTGTAAGAAAGCGTTTGCTCCCATCGGCTTCTCCTTGAATTTTGCTCTGCAGTGCTACACCGCCCTGGTGCAGCAGCACTGGTGGTGGGTAGCAGAACAGCCCCTGCCTGGTTGGAGGCTGCTCTTTAGGGCTGCAGTCCCYGAGGCCTTGTGTTGGTTAGCATGCCAAGCAGTGGTCATTCCTTGGGTCCAAGCCATTTCTGCCTGATTTTGAGGGGGGAATCTGTGTGACTGTGCCTTTTGTGCACTGCTGAGGCACCTGAGCTAGGCTGGCCAATGCATTTGGCTTAATTACAGCCTTTCTTTCCCAGTTGCCCRTGAGATGGTGTTTTCCAGAGAGCAGCAGTGAGTGGCCATGGGGCCATCATCAGGTCTCCTGCAAGGCTCTGAGAGCATTTGGAGTTACAAAGACAGCTCCTCACTTTGGGAAGTATCAGCTGCATCCCAGTAAAAGTATTAGAGAGCCTGGAGCAGCAAGATGCTCTCAGGTAAGGAGATTGCCTGYGTACAAAGTATGTACAATGTATGTACAAAGTGGGCCACCCTGCTGAAATCAACCGTCTCATGTCCATGTGGGAGGAGGACAAGTCAAGGCTGCCATTCAAAAACAGGGTGGCAAACCCTGCTCGCTGCTCCTCCGGGGCACCCAGGACCACATCCCGCTGTTCAGGGGACACTCAGGTGCAATTCTATAAACTAGCTGATCTATATCTAGAATGTGGAACACACAATACTATAGACATTATCTGATTTTCTTCCCACTCCCACAAAAAGCCTCCTTCTTGCTGGGGCAGTATCTATGCAAGATGTAACTCCTGGGGCTGAGGGAAAACACTGCCAAGAAAAAAAATATCCCACACAATTGGTATTTTGTGGTAATAAACATCTTTTGTGTAAGGACTTGAGACCATTGAKTGTCTGGGAGCTTAAGCACTGTCAGTGGAGATGGAAACGAGCCCAGCCCAACCTGCTGCCTCTTCTAAATGAAAGGAAATTATGTAGAAAGTCATCCTTTGACCTCGGTAAATATTAATATCAACATGGCATTATTGTAATGTACCTGCCTAGTGAAGGGAATATTGATGTGAGGGTACTGAAACCTGCTTCCCCCAGTGTTTGAACATTATGGGGAAGTATCAAAATTGCCAGGGTAGAGCAAAGTGCAGTAATGCAAGTAATTTGTTGCTCAAAAGAAAAGCCATTTTAAGAGCTGTGTTCAAGCCACAAGGGTTCATTTGGGCTTGTTCAACCATCACTAAGATGATTGCTTTCCCACAGCAAATATAAACATGAGAAAAATGCATAATTTTACTCGTCAGAGCAACTACCCTAATGATTTCTCTCTCTGCTTGTTCTGAGGTCATAGCTACATTTTGGAGACGCTTATTAACATGTCTGAAACACTGATTTTTTTGCCTCAGTTTTTAAGCTCTGTGCAATACATATGGTAGTAAATGTGAACATTACCTACTTTAGTGTCTGCTAGCCTAAAGTAGCTTAAAACAGAGCTTAAAACACTGAACCAGAGACAGGGCAATATTTTCCCTTTCCCCCTTCCCTCTGGGAGGGACTGAAGACAGGGGCTGTTTACAGAGCATGAGCTGCTACTGCACAACACTGTACACAGGAGGGAAAGAGACCACATTTAGACAAAGCTACCGGACAGATTTCAGGAGGATGCGGAAAAAAAATGTATTTGACTTTGTCACTATGGGTATCACCTTGGCTACAGGAGAGCGGAGTCTTCAAAAGCACCCACCTCGCTGGGGGCTCGTAGCTGCCYTCCTGCCTTCTCTGATGGGAGAAAAGCTCCCTTGACCTATTAATTTACACAAGATAAATGAGCTRGAAGCTGCAGCATAATCTGTCACTGTGATGGCTTCTGATTTGGTGTAATTTAGTAGGTATTTTATGGGTGCCTTTTAGCTTTCATAATCTACTAGCACGCATGCTGGTGGCACTTGGTGGCACTTCCCTACCTAACGTGCATAAATGACTCATGTAGAGCTGCTTCACCCAACTGCCAGGCAAGGAGTAAATTGTTAACTGAGTAAGAGACACCACATCTGTAAGATCTCCAGCATGTAGCAGGACAAGTAAGGCATGAACACAGACATTGGGATGGGAGTAGTGACAAGGAGGAAACATCAGGCGTACAAGTCTTCTGCCTAAGGATTCTTTGTTTAAGGCAGAAGGGCAACAGATGTGAATTGTCTGCTTTGCTCTCTTGGTTTCATCAGGCTAGAAATGAGGGTGTTTTTATCATCTATCTCCTTGCTCCTCACTCAAAGCCTGCTCCTCTATCTGAATACAGTGCTTACTCACGGCTTGCTGGTGAAGTACCAGCCAAAAAGACTTCAGTTTTATGGTTAATCAAAAAAGAGAGGAGTGCCTGTCCATTCCTAGCATTGCCCGGGCACTACACCACAGGAAAGAGCTCAACATACTGATTTTTTTTTTAAATTGCTGCAATACTTATGTTTTCTTTGGAAGGTGCACATCAAAGGTACTGTCACAGCTATTCTTCCTCTGCTTATGGCTCTGCCAAGCTTCAGATTTGTTACTAGGCCCTCCTTTTGCATTGACATTTTAAATAGTTACTTAGTGGTGTATCAGGAACTTCGGGTTTCTCATTGGAGAAAATTAGCCATAATTTCTTTAATATTTAATAGTGTCATTAATAAAAGTGGCTCTCACATTTTATTACTTAAATAAAATCTCACTGTCTTTTCAATTTCCAAAGTATGTAAACAATGAACCCTACTTTTGATATATTTTATCTAGGAACATTTTCAGTAGTACAAGTTAAATATTCCCCGAAATGTCTCAGCAGCTCTTTTTGTATTYTCTCAAGATTACTTTCCTAGGGAATCAAAGAGTTTTTGACTAAATAAAAAATATGGTGCAATATTTTTTTCCTCACTTCTTTTTTTGTTTGAAATTCGGTACTGCCAGAAGGTGGCAAACAGCTCCTACAGATGTTGCTAATAAAGAAAACGGGACAAATTGTCCCCTGGGGAGTATCCAGTACCCAGTTCTGGTGGTGCTATCCCAGCAATGCAGTTGGCTCCTTCTCATTACAGCTTGACCTGCCTGTGATGTTCCTGATTGTGCTGGCCTCCTGCAGCTTGTCTTTAAAGCTCTTTAAGGAAGGATATTTCAGATATTTAAAGAATCTTTCATCCTGGAGCTGCTACAGCCCAGCTATTCAGCGCTCTTGTGAAGAAAATGAATCTGGGGGGTCGTGGTAGTTGGAAATGCTCTTGGTACCTTCTGTTCGGCTGTGAGCCCCATGCAGACGTGCTGTGATAACCCATCCTCTCGCTCTCCTGCC